TCGAAAACTGGAGCTCTGATACCACTTGTTGTGCGGAAGCGTCAACCAATTGTGAGTGAAAAATAAACAACAACTAGCAGGAGATAAATGGAACCCAAAACAACACCAACAAGAACACCAAGATTTATACTGGTTCGGCAATGCCTACATCCAGTTTGGAGACGACGGAGTAATTCACTATAATCAAAGAGAGTATACAAAGTGTTTATCACTCAAGAAAACCCAAAGCCCCAAATACACCCAAGTCTCACTCTCACAACAATTGAAGAGAAAACAATGATACAAAGCAAAGAACAATTAGAGAGAAATGTTTCTCTCTTTGGCAAGATGCCTTTCTTGCTATTTTTCCTCTTCTACTCAACACTTGGTGAGATGCTTCAAATGGAACCATTTGCTTCCAATTTATAGCCAAAAATGCAAGAGTGTGAATGCAAGCTTCAACTATTCATTTGTTGGCTACCAAACTTACCAATGGATGGCTACCAAACAATCCACCCTTTTTGACCTCATAGTAAGCCAACATTTACTCACATGGGCAACTAACTTTGACTCACATGGGCAACTCCAAAATTCTTCTACATTTGAGCCAACTTTCAACACAGACGAATATATCTCTATGTGATGGTAATAAGAACCAAATGCTATTCCGTCAGTGGAACGAAGGCAGAGCACCTTGTAATGAGGTGATTTGGAAGGGTCAAAAGCCAAAGCATAACTTATGAGACCAGTGGCCTGAGTGGTAGCCGCTGTTGGAGGAATGATTTTCAAGAACTGATTGGTTGTGGGGTTCACAACATAAAAATACGCAAATTTGACTAGATAACACAAGAAGAGGCCATTGCAGGACTGAAAAATCCTGATATCATGCTCATTTGGGACCAAGTTAGGAGCTTTCCAGCGCGACCCAGGAGCCCCGGATGGACGACCATCTTAATCGAGAGGGAGAAGCTGAAGCCCAACTTGGTTTCACTGCAGCCAAAAAAAACGGCGGACGCCACCGAGCAGGAGCTTGGGTTTTGAAGGGTGTGCCGGTCACAGAATTTGGGGTAGGAAATAAGAGAGAGCCACCGCTTCGAGACGCATTTGAAGCGGACCAGAGGTCTGGCACGCGCACAAGAATTTCCTCCAGGAGGCCTTCATTGTTGTTGGCTATGGTTTCTTCTGCTGCTGAGGAAACAACGCGCTGCTTCTGCAAGAGCGTTTTCGGTTTTTTTCTCTCTGCACCATCTCTCCTCTTCTTTTCTTTTTCCTCTCTCTCTCTCTCTCTCTCTCTCTCTCTCTCTCTCTCAAAACCTACCTTTTTTCGTAGTCATCAAACCTCTCCTAATAAGCAAAGGAAAACAATCCCAATTCAAATTGAAGACAACAGTTATATTTATTTAAAGAGTATAGCCGCGCGGCTATATCCTTAAAATATTCGTATGTAAAGCCGCGCGGCTATAATCTGAAGTATTGTAAAACCATATTTTTCACTTATTATCGTTTTTATTTGCTTATATAGGAAATGGTGGCGGTGGCACATTTGAGGTAGTTTAAGATTAGGAGTCCGTTTCCTGTAGCAAAATGGATATCTTTCTACAAACTTCTTTTCTTCTTTCTTTATATTCTAGAAGCATCGTTTAAAAATATATATATTATTTTCCTTCTTTCAATTTAACTTCTATAACTAACAATTGTGATATGACCAAGAGATTAATTAACAATAATGCGATTACAAAAAAGAAAGCTATTAGCAAAGGTCTACTATACTTAATACAAAATTATTCAAAAACACAAAAGTGGAATTCTGATTCCTTCATGGCATCCGACTTTTTCATAAACTATATACGCTAGCATTATATTCAAGGAATAATCATAAAAATAAATTAAAATTGTATCCCTTGTGCTAGCCTTGTAGGAGGAATTGAACACATGATCTCATACTATACAATAGTATTTTCGTATTGGTTATCACCTTAAGCCGAACCAAACTGTCACAAGATGAACGATCGTAGGTACATCCAGAGCGGGTGACCCGACCAATAAGGTATAGTCTATGAGAGCAACTCCACCCATTTGCCCCTTGCCATGGCAAGGGGGGAGCTAGGGTAGCCACTATTCACGTGAATAGTGGTTGCCCTT